ATTTATTTATGTAATATATATATGTTATTTATTTATTTATAAATATGTTATTTATATTATATTTTTGTAAATTTTTTATATTATTTATCTTTTTATAAAAAGCATGAATATATATGATGAAAATAGTTGAAAAATACTTGTAATTTGTTTTTCTTTATTTAAACCGTTATATTTTCTTTTCCTTTTAATAGTTTATTATTTTTTAAAATTAAATCGAATCATATTCGAACATCCAACATCCTGATCGGATTCAAATTAGAATTCGATTTTATGTGATCTGATTGAATCTTCAGATCGAATCAAATCTATAGTATATCAAATGAGATTCAGATATACCCTGATTAATCCATTTGCACCCCTAACCATAGTAGCATCAATAGAATGGTGTGATGGTTCTAGAACACAATATGCATTTTGTAGGTTGTAGGGGTGTGGCATGAGATTTTGTGTTCTAGACCAGTCACAACTTATTCTAGGATGATCCACACCCCTAAAAGAAGACTTTTGCCTTGGCTTTATTCTAGAATGGGCTGAAACACGTCAAAACCATGTTATCGAACACCCCCTCAATAAAAACATCTTTTGTTTTCTATATAAATGCAAATGCAATTCAATAAATAGAATTTTAGAAGATGTTAAACTCCCACTCTTAAAAAAGTTTATTCACTCCCAAAAAAATGATAACTTCACTCTCCTAAAATTCGCACACACGGCATCCTAATCCCTAAAAAGTGGCCACTTCAAATGTTATGGTAGTAACTCAATTTTATTCAAACACAACCATTTCAAAAGTAACGATTAAACAAATAGTTTAACGTAAAATATTCAAAACATTAAATAGATAAAAATAAAAATAAATGAAATTCATAAAAATGACTAAACAATTAATACAAATGGTGTGAGTTTCGTTCTTTTAGATGAAATAGTTTATTAATTGCAAACTAGATTTAACTTTTTTTTGAACTATAACCTAATTTAGCTTTTAAAAATAAATTTATCAAATAAATAGTAAATACCAATTAAAGCGAGTTATTGCTTACAAATAAGACCATATTTAATCTCTTAAATATGGATTTAGCCCAAAATGGGATGTGCTCATAGCTGAGTCACCATCCACCACCAAAATGTCTCTTTGCCAATTTGTCTCTTGGAAGTACTGTAGATGTTGTAGGCATCTTGGATTTAGCCCTCCACATTGTCTTTCCACTGAAGATATCTGGATTTAGTCCAAAATGGGATGTGCTCATAGCTGAGTCACCATCCACCACCAAAATGTCTCTTTGCTAGTTTGTCTCTTGGAAGTACTGTAGATGTTATCTGGATTTAGCCCTCCACATTGTCTTTCCACTGAAGATATCTGGATTTAGCCCAAAATGGGATGTGCTCACAACTGAGTCACCATCCACCACCAAAATGTCTCTTTGCCAGTTTGTCTCTTGGAAGTATTGTAGATGTTGTAGGCATCTCGGCTTTGATCACATGGTTCTAGGCAATATCTCCCCTCAAATGGATGTGCCTTAGTTGTAATCTCTTTACCATCTGGACTATCTTGAATGTACACCTAGATAGCAAGAAAATTAAGCCAATGAAGTTCCATTGATTATCTCCAACTGTTTGACCATGGGCTTGCCCACAGAACCTAGGCCCAAAAAGTTGTGGGCTTGGCCGAGCTACAAAAGATGACCACTACTCCACATTTCTAAAGGTTTGCCTATATCGTAAAGCCCATTACATTAAATGTAGGGGTTAACTTTGGCTATTGGGGCCCAACAGCATAGGCTATTGAGACAGTTTATGGGCTAGGCACGTTCTGGGCAATTCACCTATTCACGCACATGTTTTGATATTTAGTAAAAATAAATTAATATGTAATTGCTAATTTATCCATTCTCAGAATAACGTGGCATTCCTAGAAATTCTCTCAACAGCACAGGTTGTTGGCCCCTAACAGCTAAAGCTTTTGGGTATTAGCCTAGTAGGTTGTTGAAAGTGAAAAGTGATGGTGGTGGTACTATGCCTTTTTTTGGTATTTTAATGTAATGTACTAATAACTCTGAAGATAGGTGGTAAAGTAGGACTCAAATCCGCATCTCCGCTGGGATTATCCAACAAATATACCAACTAAGCCACTATCTTTTTTATTTTTATTTTTGAAAGCAACTAAGCTGATATCAGTTGGTGGTACTATGACTGATTAATAGGGGTGCAAGTCGGGCGAGTTTTGTCGGGTTTATGGTCAACCTACGCCTGGCTCTGAAATTTGGGCTTAAGGCCTGAGCTCGGCCCGTGCCCGAGGTCAAGCATGATTTTCCCAATCCAAGCCCAGCCTGCCCTATAATTTGGTGCACTTGGGTTGGCCTTGGGCCTAGGCCGGGCTCGGGTTGGTCAATGAACTCATTCTAAAATTATACATATATAAATGTATTTATGCAAATATATATATATATATATATATTTGTGTATATATGTAAATATGTATGCAAAATATCTATATATACACACATATATGTATAAATATATATATAATTGGATCGTGCTCGGGCCGAGTTCGGGCTACCTAAGGGCTAAGCCCGAGCCTGGCCCAAAAAATAAAAAAAACCCGACTTCTTGGGCCCAAGCCCAACTCGAGGACTAAAAATCCAAGCACAACTCATGTAAAATTCCAGGTTGGGCCGGTTCGGGCTCGGGCTAGGCCCGCCCAAGTTGCATCCCTATTGATTAAGGCCTTGTTCGTTTTTTTTTTTTTTTTTGTAAAATTGACCTACGTATCATATTCCATATTAGTAATCTTAAATCTCATGGTAAATCAATTTTCCTATGAATATCACTTATCCAAATGAAGGGTCCATTTGGTTTGTAGTTAGAATCGGAATCAAAATTGGAATCAGAATTGAAATCCTCCAAAATTGAAATAAAAATTAAAACGATCTATTCTTATAGTTTATTTGGTTCAGAGAGGAATACGAATGGGAATTAAAACCACCAGGAATGAGATTTTATTCCCAAGTGAGGGGTAAGGAATGGTCATTTCCACCAGGAATGAAAATGGGATTCCAATTCCGCCCAATCTAACATTTAGAAATGGAATAGCATATTCCAATTTTGATTTCAGACCCCTATTCCCGTAAACCAAACAGAGCCTATATAATGCCTGTCTCCGGGGTAAGTAAGGGGAGAAGTGGTTGCTAAAACATTATAAGACAAAATCGTGAAGAAATATGGTAGGGAAAGAAAGGGAAAAGTTTCCCTAACTGTACCAGGTTTGGAAAAGGAAAAGCCCTTAAGCTCGAAAGAAACCTGTACCAGATTTCCAAATCTTTTTTTTTCCAAACCAAACACCAACCTAAGGGGTGAAATGTGAGATAATGGTGGGGATAACCGGATAAACAAGGCTTTGATTGGGTAGCTCATCAAGACTCTAGAGAGGGTCGGTTTCCTAAATAGCATGGTTTTTAAAACCGAACCGGTGACCAAACCGGTCAAGGCACCGTTTTCCAGTTTAAAGGTTCAATCGTCCGAGTCGAATGGTTTGACCTATGATGTCATAAATAAATAAAAAACAAAAAATACTTATATATAATAAAAAATACTATAGAAATTTAAATAAAACACAAAAAATACACAGAAAAATATAGGAAAATGTACAACATATGAAAAATAAAAATATCTAAATACAAAAATAATAAAATACAAAAAAATACAGAAAAAAATCCAAAAAATATAGAAAATTTTCCAAAAGTTATAGAACAAATATGTAAGCAAGAATATGTAATGAGCAACTATTTTTTGAGAAGAAAAAAGCATATCAATTCAAAAAAAAATTATCTGAACATAATTTGAGAAGAAAGCATAAATTTCATATCAAAACATATTTGAGAAGAAAAAAAAAGAAAGAAAATTCAGAAAAATATAGGATGAGACCCTGTTTTTTTCATAGGAAACGAATAAGAAGGATAGAAGAAGAAGAATGTTGATTTGATAAAATTTAAGATATTCTTTGCTTATCCTAACTAATGAGAGTTTTATCCTAACAAATGAACCAAAAGAATTCAAAAAATCAATTAAATCACAAAAAAAAAATCAGAAAAAAATTATATCTTCAGGGATTCACCGTCGTGGGCTCGGGCAGTCCGCTGATGCAATTCGCCATTGCTGCAAGTCGCTCACCGTCCACCGCTGCAAGTTGCTCGCCATCTGTCACTACAAGTCGACGCTACAAGTGCTTGGGTGACTCTTTTCATTGTTGCAAGTTCGCCGGTCGCCGTCAGATGCCAGAGTTGATGGCCGCCGCAGGTGGTAGGGTGTGAGGGTTAAGACTTGAGAGGAGTGAGGAGTGAGGAGGGAACTCGGGAACCCTAAAGGCTAAACCAAATAAGGGACTGGGATTGGGATTCGAAAATCGAACTGATTGGGATATAATTGGCATTTTATTTTTTGTTTTTTATTTAAAACATTAAAAATAAAAATATTAACTCACGAACCGCTGCCCGAGTCAAACGATTTAGTGGTCCGACTGCCCGGGTCAACGGTTTTTTGACTTTTCAGCATTTTTTTCAAATTTCCGGTTTTTATTAAAACTGGACCCGAATGGCTGACCGGTTACCGGTTTTCTGCTCCGACCATCCGGTCCGGTCTGGTTTTGAAAACCATGCTGAATAGACTTGCGTTTCAGCTCAGCCAAAGTATCCACAGTCCAAGCAGTTAAACGTATTTGGGTCATTTGAATATAATCCGAATCACAAAGCAACTCAAAAGTCGAAACAACAAAACGGAAATTGAAATTGGGAATACTGTGTGAACATACAAACGATGTAACCATGCTTTGAACCGTCCATTTGGAATCCTAGATCCATGCCAATACACCGTATGATTGTTATATTCCTTAATTCCAACTCCCAAGGGTCAACGATATGCGGATGGGAATAGGGGAATCTTTTCGACAGGTGCTGTATTTTAATTGGATTAGTAGAGAAGAGAGTAGATTAAAATTTGTAGGAAATCCGAACACAATATTTTCCACCGACAATGCTGCATTAAAGCTATCGCTTTTCTCTCGGCCCAGATCAAACGGAGAGGTAACGAAGCAAAGGTATAGAAAGGAAACGAAGCTCCAGTCATGTCCGACAACAATTCCTCTCTTTCCCAGCAACGGTAAGCAACAGAAGACTTTGCTTCTTAATTTTATAGTGAAGTCTTACAATCAGATTATTTGGTTTCAATTTTCAGCCAGAAACTGCTTTGGGTTCATTTCTGTACATTCGATCTACAACTAAGCAACTAAAAATCTCACCACCAGAGAGATCAATAAAACCCATGTGAGATGTGCCTTCAGACCAGTCATGCATGGCATACTCTTTTCTGTATGCTTACCTTTACTATTCAATCAGATCAGAAGAACTTTACCTTGAAAACCTTCTGGTTTGTGGGGTGGGAGCGAGCTTTCCCTAAAGCAGGGCTCTTGGTTTTGGGTTAGAAGTATATTCTCTTGCTTGAAAAGGGATGGAACTCTAGGTGAGCAAACTTCAAGTTGGGCTGTGACGATAAGCTCGTCCGCTAGCTCCGCCTTCACTCTGTACCGACTACTCATTGCCTTCTTGAACAAATCCCATTTCTAGAAAGAACTGGTTCTGCCCCCAAGTCACCCATGGAAAGGATATTGAATTTTGCTGATACTCCAGTGACGCCATTAAAGTCCACTTCCCGGTGGAACCCACTCAGAATGGGTCCTCACTCCTCACGTTGAGAAGCGGCGTCACTTGAGCTCAAGCCACAGCCTTTAGGAGGGTAAGAGTACTCTGATTTTAACACTACTACTGAAGTAAAAAAAAACTTGAATCAACGTTTTGTTTGTGTGTGGGGATGGGAGCTTTGAATGACTCCAAAAGCTAGACAGTTCAATGGTGATCAGAAAAGCTTAGTTTTGCTGTAGAGTCCTGGACTGGATAACAATTAATATCTTGTACTATCATTTCATTCATGTCTCATCTCAACTCTATTTGCTATAGTTCCTCATCAACCTCATTTGACAGAGTTCTCACTTTCACCCTTTTAGTGTCTGTAAACCAAGATAAATTTTTTTGTCAATTACATCGAACCTTATCTATTCATATAACAGATTAGCAGGGAAGGTGGCACTGGTTACGGGCGGCGCCACCGGCATAGGCGAAGGCATTGTCCGTCTCTTCCACCTCCACGGCGCCAAAGTTACCATAGTTGATGTACAAGATGAGCTTGGCCAGCGGCTATGTGAGGCACTGGGAAGAGACCTAAATGTATGTTTCATACATGGTGACGTTACAATTGAGGATGACATACGCCGTGCCGTCGACCTCACCGTCGACAAGTTTGGCACACTTGACATTATGGTTAACAATGCCGGAATTTCAGGCCGGCCCTCGGCCGATATCCGAATAGTCGAAATATCTGAATTTGAGAAGGTGTTTGATGTGAACGTCAAAGGTGTTTTCATTGGAATGAAGCATGCCGCGCGCATCATGATCCCAAGATCCAAGGGGTCCATCATTTCTCTTGCTAGTGTGGCCAGTGCCATTGGGGGTCTTGGGCCGCACCCTTACACTGGGTCCAAGCATGCAGTTGTGGGCCTTACTAAGAGTGTTGCAGCAGAGCTTGGGGCACATAGGATCCGAGTGAATTGTGTCTCACCCTATGCAGTGGCTACAAACTTGGCACTGGCACACATGCCTGAGGCAGAACGGACAGAGGATGCCTGGGCCGGATTCCGGGCATTCACTGCCCGGAATGCCAATTTAGAGGGCATGGAATTGACTGTGGATGATGTTGCCCATGCTGTGCTTTACCTAGCCAGTGATGAGGCACGGTACATCAGTGGGTTGAACCTGATGGTCGATGGCGGGTTTGCATGTACAAATCACTCGCTTCGTGTATTCCGGTGACAATAGGGTTCTTCGCTGCACGGCTGGGTGTCATATCCATTGTTAAATCATGTGCAAAACACTTATTATCCCACTGCTCAAATTTGGAAGTTGGGTTTTGTTTTGGTTTTGGTAATCTTCACCTAGTTGAATTTGAGTCATTGTTTTAGTGAAATTCAAGTTCTATCAAGGCGGGCTATCCTGTTCTATGAAGAGGATCATCCAAAGATTTTTGTAAGATCTGAGACGAGGCCATAAGAGTTAATTCATTAGAATGACTTTGGGGTTTTGTGGTGATTACTCCATAGTCCATGCCATTCAATCTTCTGCATAGAATATAAATTAGCCACCCATTTCTCTACTTAACACTAATACTCTTGCTGCCCAAACTTCTACCGCCTTGGGGTTGAATTAATCATGCCTTGAAGTCTTGAAGAAGATGCAATTACTCATTTTCAAAACTGAGAAAAAAAAATCAATTAGACCAAGAACGAGTAGTTTTAATTTTGACTAACATCAATACAAAAGTAGTTTTTGACATGTGCTCCACCAGCTACCATGGCATGTGCTGGGCCGGGCTGGGCACATGCAAGAGAGAATCTTTATATGAAGTCATTTTTTAGACATTTATGGGTGTTTTACAATGTGATTTTTTTTGTCATCAATTCCAAAAACAAATTAAAACCATCTAGCTTGAAAGCAAATTGGTTTTTAAACAAAATACGGATTCGCAGAAAACATGTTCTTGATTGTATGTGTTCTTGATTTCCAAAATCGAAACAAATGCAAAAACGTTTTCTTGAATTTCTAGTTTAGAATGAAAAACATGCAAACATTTGGTTTAGCTTCTCCTTATGAATAATTTTAAGCTATTTTATCAGATAGGCAGAATTTTGGACCATCCATGGATTGGAAACAAGGCATTCTACTCCCGAAGTCCCTATTCAATATTTTGGGCCACTATGGGCTTGCTTGATTTGGGACCTTACATAGATTTTTGTTTTTTTTTTTCGTGATTTGTTTTTGGAATTATGTTCTTTTGTAATTAAGGGCCCCCGTAAGGGTTATGCAACTGCCAGAGATGGGAAAATTCTTATGGCCTCATTTATTTGCAATGCAATTTTGCTTGCATTGATGTAAAACCAAGATAGTGTAAATCAGTTGAGTACAAATTTTGGTTTACTTTTGCTTCAAGTTTTACATTGTTTTCTTTATTTGTAGTGCAGATGAAGCAAGAAAAAAAAACACTTGGAACAAAGTAAAAAGTAAAAAACCAAAGCAAAAGTGACCTTGCACACGCTCCCATGTATCTATATTAGTGCAAGTTAGAATTCAAAAGAAGGCTAGGAAGAATATATTGTTGAATGTAATAATTACATTATATTTATAGACTTAAACAGAAATCAAACCTATTCAAATTCAAATTCTTAGATTCTATCTAAGAATCTATGTAATCTATCTTAATCCATCTCAAACTCTATTATAACATAACAAATTCTATCTTACTGAGAACTTTTAATCACACTTATCATAACAATCCATGCATCAAATCTTATCTCAATTCCCTTACAGTGCAAATGAAATTATACTAAAAATAAAATGAGTTTTTTGTTTCAAAAACAAAATATATCCACGTCTACTATAGACTCTTCCAATGAAATTTTCAATAGACCATACCAACTACTCCTACACAAAGCAAACATCATCAAGGTCAATATTGTTAAAGGATATCGGGTTAAGCACATCCAAATACAAAGCGATCTCTTTGATTCTTCTTCTAGTACAGGGAGAAGTTTGATATGGCACTAGATAGAATGGTGGGACAAGATTCATGTAGCTAAATCCCATTTATAGTTAGAGAGAAGACTTTGTTGAGTTGCACAATGTCAGAAAAAAATAGTGAAAAAATTTATAAAGGAAACTCTGAAAGAAGAAAACATGTAGGGGATTTATTATAGAAGGACAAAATGATCATATCCTTGTTGTCATAAAGGCCCTAAGGTGGTTCTTAGGGCAACGTCTCTGACGATCAAGTCAGTTAAGGAGCTAGCTAGAATGAAGACGAGTTAATGAACTCAATGAGTGAGATATAAATTATAGTAAGAGAGTGAGAGAGCATGAGAGAAATATACCTTCAATGGTTCACCTATTTATAGAGGAGAGAGAGCCATTTGTCATAGAAGTAATAGACCCCATACTGGTGGCCAAGTCAATCCATCTTCTCTGCCTATAATGCTCAAGATAAGCTTACTTGATCGGCCATTAGTCTATGATGAGTGCATAGGTTAATAGTCCAGTCAAGTCATTCCACATGTGTTGGGTAGGCATTACTATTCCCTACATGGCTACATCAAGTTTAGGTTGCCTAGTAGAATTATCAAACTACCATATGAGATGAGCTAAATTTACCAAATTGCCCCAAGGTGGAACATGTGGTGCTTTCCTATTGGCGTGAATGGTTTGGCTACATCACTAATCACTTGCCTCTCCCCTCCCCCCACCCCCACCCCACTTTCGAGCTCAAGGCAACCAGTGACTAAGGCTGCAACTTGGGCCGGGTTGGCCCGAACCCAACCCGAAAAGGTTAGGTTGGGTTAGGGTTAAGGTTGAAATTCGTGAACTTGACTTTACTTTGGGTTGGGTTAGGGTTGACCCCTTAACCAACCCGACTCTATAATACATGTCATATATAAATATATGTTATATGTAATATATAACATATATTGATTTGTTTAGATGCATGATATTTCTATAGCTCCCACCACATAGTATCATGTATTTCTTTTAAGATAATCACTTCACTTGATCTTAATCAGAAATACTAAAACCTTAATAACATTATCTTATGTTTTTTGAAAATTTTATTCATCTCCTCTATGTTGTTTGCTGCCCAAGAAAGATCTATTGTAAATCATAACTTATAAAAAACTATAGTCATTTAACACTTGTTTTTCTGAATTTTGTACTAAAAGAACAAAAAAATAACGTCAACAAACAAATAATAATGAAACATAGGGTTAATATATGCAGTGAAAGTTGAGTTAGGATCTAAAATCGAGAAATTCTATGAGATTTTAAAGGATGGGAAGAAGGTTGGGTTGGGCCAACCCAACCCGAAATTGCCCTCGGGTTGGATTGGGTTAGGGTTGAAGGAATTTAGTTAGGGTTAGGGTTAGGGTTACGGTTGAGATTTAGAACTTAGGGTTGGCCTCAACCTAACCTAACTCGGGCTGACTTGCAGCCCTACCAGTGACTTAGTTGAAGGAAGTAATTCTAGGGTTATTTAGAGTTGACACCATTTGGGTGCAGGGCTCCTCTCCTATGGCACATCCAACAAAGTTCCTAGTGGTTCCAAGAGTTGTGTCACTTTAGTTGTGGCTTTGTTAGAGTGTTGGCTTGTAGTCATTGTGCCACTTTATGCATTTAACCAGATTTCATGTGCCTCTTTAGAGTGTTCTCGGGATTGATACACCTCATTAAAAGCATTGGCTCATTCTCTGAAGCGATAGATGTGGTAGTGGGAAGATAAAGTATATGTTTGGCATCGATGCTACGGATATAGCACCATTTTCTGAGAAAATTATGTCTTTTTTTTGTTTGGAAACGTTGCTATGAGGTAGGACATTTCTTGGAACAACAACAACACCTTTTGTTTGGTACTAATACTCCACAATTTTCAGCACTACCCATTATAGGAAGTCCATGTCACAGCCACATCATGTCCTCATTGGCAACAACGAACTCCAATATGAGGAAACGTCAAATTAGGTATTGCTCCAAACCACGTCTTCTTGATTTCCAAGGCATGGCTTAGAGCATTATTTTTATGGAAAAACAGTTCCAAACATATTGGCGTTTCCTGAAGCACCGCTGATTGAACAATCGGCTGGTGAGGTCACTCGCCTTGTAGAAGCTTAAGGTAACCTCATTTCTGACTGAAGCTATCCTGGCATTTATGGACTTGATCTCAGCTCGACCAAGTAGTAAGCTTTTGCCTTATGCCTTGTACTTGCTTTTGTATTCAATTGGCATTGACCTCATTTCAGTTTTGTTGCTACAAATTCCAACATGGTGCATACCAATCCAAGAATGATGCTTTCCACAATGAGGAAGAAAAAGAGAGTGAGGGCATCTAGTACCCTTATAGAGGGAGAGACTTCAGCTCACCCTACCATATGTGCAAGGGTCGTTATCTACCCTACCGATTTGGTTATGGTAGAGGTGGACAAGGAGGTCTTTGTAGAGTAGATTGAACAAACATATACTAGGACTTTGACTACTGCTACCACTGAGGTAGGCAAGGAGGTTGCCATGTATGCTCCTACCATGACTACTCCATCCTTTTTTCTGGAGTATAAGTTGAGGTTGAGCAATAGGATTAGGGATGCCGAGATCTCTCAATGTATCCTCCTTGCAGAAGATTGTAGAGAGATGGTCATTTTAACCAACTTGGCACTAGAGAAGTGCCGAAGCTCTGAAGCTCATGAAGGTAACTAACTTGATTCGTCACTTTTTCGTGAGTTAGACACTTTTAAGAGTGAGAGTTTAACTTAATTATGACTAAAAAGTTAACTTATAGATTAATTTAATTATAATTTTTTAATCATTAATAAAATAAGAAAATAAAATAGAATTCTAACATATAATATGAAAAATATAATTTTTTATTACGTAATTAACAATAACTTATTATCTTTGTTAAAAGTTATTAATATAATTAATCTAAATTATTAAATTATATTTTTATAACAGATTACTAAATTATTAATATAATTATCATTTTCCATTATTTCACTTTTACTTGATAAAAAGGAAAATTTGAAGATCAATAACTAAAAAGAAGGAAAAATTTTTCTACTATTCTAAATAGAAAACTAGAAATACAACATCCATCCCCTCCATCGCACGCACGGTTCACCACTAATTATTAATTAAAGAACATTAAAATATTAAAATAACACCCATTAAGACCTGTTTAGGAGCCGGGTTTCAGGCCTGACTTACACTGTATTGGGCTCGGGCTTCGGGCCGGGCTCCATTCAAATTTTGGCAAAAGCCAAGCCCAAGCCCGGCCCATGAACTTTAGGCCAATGGCTAAATATGAACGGTTGTTATTCCAACGAGCTTCCAAGTTTGTGGAGCTCCGAGCAAAACAGATGCTTGGGCCTTGGGACCTTGGGTGACTGGTTCCTTGGTCGCTTTGTAGAAAGAAGAAAGAATGAACGACAAAACCCAACAGAGTTCTTGAAGCAGAATACTATAGGGGGCATTATGGGTTTCACTCTCTGTCGGAGCCCGGTAAAGGAATCTTCGTTGCAGAGGTTTTTGAACTTCGGGTGGAATATAAAACCTCAGTTGAAGAGAAGACCTTATGTGGAAGTCTCTGCGTTCTCTTACCAGAAGTTTGTTGGCTTCGCTTTGGAAGAAACAAAACGACGAACCCATTTGGTTCCTTCGCCTTTACAGGTAACTCGGGTCTTCACTTCTCTCCATGTGATTTTTTTTTTCTCAGAGAAAGATTGAAGATTTTAGCATGAATTCTGCACCCAAATAGTTGCATCTGGATAGTCTTCTAAGGAATTCAGTTGGGATTTAATTTCGGTATTTTTTTGTTGCATCTCAATTCAATTGCATTAATGGGTTGCAACTTATATTATTAAATGCATGAATTTCCATCATTTCCAGCAGCTTCAATCTTAATCAGAGAGTGAGTTCATAGCTTAATTGATTTCATATAGTCCAACAAAACTCTACAAGCTACACTCCATGAGCCATAGCGAGCTGGATATGAGAACCAAGTAAATGTGAATCAGAGAGTGAATTCATGGCCTAGCTTTTTATATTGTCTGGGTTGGAGTACTTACTATTTGTTAGACTTTTCTGGCTTCAATATGCTTTGGAACTATTTTATATCTATTCCCGTTAGCGCCTCATAACTTTCTTTGTTTCATCCCTGATTTATTCTTATCATTTTCTTATTTTGTTATAATCAGTTTGTGCACATGCTTTTCCTGTCCAACAAAGTGGCTGCTTAGACTGAACATGCATTCTCACGCTTGTCAGCTTGAGATTTTACCATAACACCAAGCAATGGCCCCTACTAGCTGGTAATGACCTAGAGATGAATCTTTGTTTTTTGGATTTTTTATGACATAGAGATGAATATACTTCAACATGCTTAGCTTGCCCATATAAATGTGATTTGATAGCAATAGGATTAATCAATACCATTTCTGCATAGACACTTCTAAGGTGCAACTTCTTGTCTGTTATTGTATTATTTTCTATTTTCTTGACTCCCAACAATTAATAATATTTATAAATATTAGAAATTAGTTTTATGTAGTAAACAAGTTACTTTGAGAAGGTATTAGACAAGATACTCATATTCAGTGTTGCATGGATTCTCCTAAATGGATGAAGTGTCTATGTTGGATGCATGTTTAACTCTGACACTCCATGGGTTCTTGAGGGACCCAGATCATCCTTTTCTCCTTGATTATTTGACATAATGAACAGCTATGTTATTAAGTAATAATATAAACTTTTAAACCTTTTTTCATAGGTATATAAGGTTGGAATTAAAAGGATGGATTACTGTAATAGTTTATTCTTTTCTATTGATGTGTTTGCAAGTCCTTGTTTTCTCATCTTGTAACACTGCTCACATTGAAAAAGATAAAAACAGAATAATCAGTGGAGTCAGAAAGCTGGATGAAGAGGCTATTTTGTGCTTCTGTTTAGTATACTCCTCTGTTTTGGTATTTGCACACCATACGTTTCAATAAATAGAGTCATTTCTACTACCCATATCAGCTTTTGCATTTGTATCTGTACCTATACTAAGTACACATGTTTGTTTATTAGAATACTATTAAGTCTATTATGCACTTTTTGATAGGTAAAAGTATGGTTTTGTTAATATATTGCTATATTTGACCTTTTATTTAAACAGTGATACAATTGTATGGAAGTCTTAGCGCCTTTGGGTTCCAACATAATGTGCATATTATCTGTTTTGTGCTACATACACTGATTGGTTGACTTTTGTTTGGTTTTGAGTTTCATTAACTTGTACAACTGAACTCAAGGGTTTGGATGCATTAGCCATGTTAAACTTTGGAAAGTGTTGATCCTTATTTTTTGCTGATATTTGATGAATGGCTCATTTTTCCCATTTAATGAACTGGGAATTTGTAATATTGATCTTCAAATGTGGGATAGTCTATGTATTTGAGCAGGTTTTCTAGTTGGGTTGTTAAGGAGTCTTAATGATGCAAGAAACTTCTATGTGGAAAGTTTGTTTGGAATCAAGGGACGTTCCTTAGTTTTCTCCCCTCATCCTAGATTCGTGGAAAAATTTTTGGCACAAAATATTCTTACTTATATTGGCAACTTGTAAATTAAAAAATGAAAATAATTGAGAGCTGTTATTAATTGAACTTCCATTCCAAGGATAGAATAGGATTGAAAGGACTTGAGTATTCAATACATGGCCAATACAGAGAGAGGGTTCCCTATCTGATGAGTGATCTGGATTAGCCACAAGATTAGGGTTCAAATTAGATATCTTTCCAGCTGTTTCAGATGTTACCCTATATTAGATATATGAAGTTTGAACTTTGTGAACTTTGAGGCTTCATAGGGAGCATGCTTTATATCCCTCAGGCATATAAAACTTTATTTCTTATTTATTTACAAACACCAAAAGAAATGGATATCAAGTTGGCAACTTCATTGTGAAATTCAATTTAAATCACTTGTTCTGGTATGAGGTTTTGTGATTGTGATCTTATAATATTTGAATGAAAACATTTTTTTTTTCGTCAGGAGAAATTCAATTCCATGAAGGCCATGGATGGAAAAACAGAGCTACAGATGCTAGCTTTTCAAGCTCCCAAGATCAGACTCCTTCGCAGTCTTAGTATTGAAGAGAGTGAAACAATGCAGGTATTAGTCTTTGATAGAATAATTTTTTGTAGTTTTATGCTATTTTTGAAGCTGAATTTTCAAACATTACTATTGTCAAGGAGTCTTTTTATGACTAGCAGGTGTAACTTTTTGTCACTTAATTACAATCTAGATTTTGTGAGTATGTCCTTAACTTGATTCTATATATTAACCCTCTTCTCCATGACTTCAGCATAGTTGAAACTTTTCCCAAATACATGGACATCTAAAATTATAGATCACAGTTTCCTACTGATATCTTCTGTGTTTGAAATGTGCTTTTATGAGATCATTCAAGCAAATTTCCCTTATTCCAGTCTAGAGTTTCACAATTCTTGGCTATGTCCTTAACTTGATTCTATATATTAACCCTCTTCTCCATGACTTAAGCATAGTTGAAACTTTTCCAAAATACATGGACATCTAAAATTATAGATCACAGTTTCCTACTGATATCTTCTATGTTTCAAATGTGCTTTTATGAGATCAGTCAAGCAAATTTCCCTTATTCCAGTTTAGAGTTTCACACCTTTTGGCATGTGGTATATTGTTATCATTCAGGTCATGGTTCTGAAAGTCTCTCTCTCTCTCTCTCTCATGATAATTTGATCCTCAATATTGGAATTGATCCTTTCATGAGGAAGGCCATTCCCTTTTTAGAGCCTTCTCACAGCCATGTAATCTTAAGAGAGTCACAGATTTCAAAGGACACTTTTCAAGGTAAAAGAAATTCAATGAGGAGAGATGATAATGTGAGTAGAGATTTAGTTTGATTTATGCCATGCTTGGGTTTTTCCTGGCAAGCCCTCCTGTGGATTCTGGGAGAAAGCCTTTTTTCCTGAGATTATTGGATGTTTTATAATAAAAATAAAACTGGTTTATGCAATATCAGGGAACAACTTTGAGGGCAAACTATGGGTCTGCTCAGAAGCTAATAGCTTCTGATGCCATTTTGTACTTCTGCAGCCAGCCAGAAGTTGGATGCTGGAACAACTACAATGTAGCCTTAGTCTCTTTAGGAGATCTGGGAACTGTTCATCTTGTTTATTTGATTGTTTGCCTTGTACAGAATGTTATCCTTTCTCTGGTCCATGAGATCAGTAGAAGATAGAAATAAGGACAAAATAAGAGAAGAAAGTGAAAAAAAGGAGCAGAAAAGTTCTTGGAGAAAAAGAGAAAGAAGAAAGAAGATGATGGGAGAAGAAAGGGGTGCCAAAAAATATTCTGGCCGCCCCATTCACTAGTATTTGTATTAAAAACTAAAGCTGTGTACAAGGACAAAAATGCCCCCACTAAGGTGCCTATAACTAGAGCCACTATAAACAATGAAAAAAAATGGGCTGCAGCTAGGCCCAATAATAATAATAATAATAATAATAATAATAATAATAATAATAAAATAACATAACAAGAAACATAAATTGTCAACGCTCCCCCTCAAGTTGCTTAGATCATGCCCAAGCTTGTTTCCAATGGTTTCCTTGGTAAGACATCAGCTAATTGTAACTCAGATGAAACGTATGGCAAGCATACTTCTCCTTAGGTGACTCTTTCCCTGATAAAGTGCTTGCCCACTTCAATATGCTTTGCTATCATTTTGGATAGGATTATGGGCTATATTAATAGCAGCCTGGTTATCACAACGTAACATCATAGGTTACTCTGCTACAATACGAAGTTCCTCTAGTAGAGATTGAGAAGCCACAATAACTCTGAGATACCATAGGCCATGGACCTATATTTCCACTTTTGCACTTGATTTGGTCACCACGGGTTGTTTTTTGCTTTTCCAAGAAACCATATTAGCCCCCAACAAAGGTGCAAAAGCCTGAAGTAGATCTTCTATCATCAGCATCTTGCCCAATCTGCATCTATATAGGCCTTTAGTTTCATATGCCCATGATTTGCAAACAATATGCCTCATCCAGGATGCTTCTTTATATAGGAAATAATCTTATTAATGGCTGCCCGATGTGATGTTTTGGGAGCATGCATGTATTGGCTCACCACACTAACTGCATAGGAGATATCTGGACGAGTCAATGCATAAGTATAACAATCGACCCACTAATCTCTGATATCTTCCTACGTCCTTGACCAGCTCACCATCTGATGCATTAATTCTATGATTCTGATCAATTGGTGTATCTATTGGTTTAGTTCCAAGCTTCCCTTTCTCTTGTAACTTATCCAACACATACTTCCATTGTGAAATAAAGATACTCAGGTTTAAAATGTCGATGTCGGTGGAAATGTCGGTCATCCAAATATAAGAAACATATCGGAAATGTCGAAAATATCGAATGGAAATATTGTAAAAATTGTAGACATGGTGGAAACATTGTAAAATATGCAAAATATAGAATGATATTTTATTTAATGATAAAAGAAGCATAGGCACACCTTTTTAAATTATTATCCCATTTCAAATCATTATACAAAGCTAAGAAACCAAGGTTATAGGCAAAGGAATACATTCTGAAGTTCCCTTGTAAACCTTAAGATTTAGAGCTTCATGATAGAATGAGTTAAAGCAAAATTTTAACTCATAGAAAATGTAAATGGTTGTAACAGATCAACCAAATAATCTATTACAAAAACAAAAAAACAATATTTAACTTCATGTAATGAATATTGAGCTAGCCCAAAGTGGTAATCATGTAAGTTAGGCGGACAATAGAATTGTTAGTTCACATACCTACTATATTGTCCCCAATTTATGTTATAATACTATCTCTTGGACTCCACATAGTATTGATAGTGTTCATTAGGGAATATGTTGATTCTAGAAAAATTTCATGTTGCTACCCATTGAAGTGGAGATAGAAATATGTCGTGGAAACTATCTCTTGTACTCCAAATAGTCCTGATAGTGTTTATTGGGGAAATGTCGATTCCAATACAATTTCGTGTTGCTACCCATGGAAATGGAAATATGCTGTGGAAATATTAGGGAAATTAGAGACATTTTAAACCATATGCTTAGATTTGGCTACTTTTATGCCTAGAAAATACTTGAGCTCCCCGAGGTTCTTGATTTCAAATTCCTGTTGCAAAGATTTCTTCAGAATGTCTGTCTCTTCCAAACCATTGCAATGACCACAATATCATCCACATATGCTATCAACATAGTCAGGAGAGACTCTCTACTCTTCACAAAGAGTGTATGGTCAGACTATGTCTAAGCGTACCCAAACTGAACTAGAGCTCCCCCGAACCTATCAAACCAAGCCCTAGGTGATTGCTTTAATCCATACAATGATTTCTTTAACTTGCACACTTTTCCTTTGTCAACACCATTGTAGAAACCTCCCTAATAGATCCATATACATCTCTTACAAATCTCCATTAAAGAAGGCATTTTTAACATCAAACTTGAAAAGAGGCCAAGAATAATTTGTATCTAGAGAGAGAAGAACTTGAATTGAACTCATCTTTGTCATATTAGCAAAATTCTCTAGGTAATCCACTCCATAAGTCCATGTGTACCCCTTTGCAACCAATCTTGCCTTATATTTTCTATATTGCCATTAGCTTTATGTTTCATTGTAAAGACCCATATGCACCATATAGTTTCCTCATTAGTAGGAAACTCAGTTATCTCCCAAGTCTGATTTTTAATTAAAGCTTCCACTTCCTCTTGCATGGCTGCCTTTTACTTAGTTTTAGACTGAGCCTTGCTAACATTCTTGGGTATAGACATAGAATCAAGGGAAGACATGAAAGCTCGATATGAAGGAGATGAAACACTATAAGAGAGATAATGTGAGATGCAAGGAGCTGTAGAAGAGGTACACTTTATCTTCCCTTTGCAGAGTGCAATAGGCATATCATTGTTGGTACTAGGTGTAGAAGGTGGATCATTGGTAGTAGGTGCAAGAGGTAGAACAAGAGGCATACTTATGTTAATGTTTGGAGAACTTGAGATTTCAGATGGAGCAATTGGAAGTGATGTGGGCTCTTTTGCAGGCGCATCAAAATCAACCCTCTTACGCCATTGTCTGAAAAACTGTGGTGTAGCATGTAGTGGTTGAGGCAAGGAAACAGGTGAAGGTACAAGTAACTTAGCAGGAACAGGAAGTGGATCTGGAATAGGATGCTCATTCTCACCCCCTGAAACACTCTCCCTGAGAAGAAACACATGGAATGAAAGGAGTGGACTCAAAGAAAGTAACATCCATAATGACATATCAACTCCTTGGCACTGGGTCCTAACAATAATACCCATTTTGGTTTTGAGCATACCCAAGGAAAACACATTTCTTGTCTTTGGGATCAAATTTCATACGATGAGAAGCAAGAATATGGACAAAACAGGTACACCCAAACACCCACAAAGGAATATAAAAGATCTCTCCCTCAAGAAAAAGAAGACTAAACGGGGTCTTAAAGTCAAGGACACATGATGGCATCCTATTGACCAAGAAAAGAATAGTGGAAACAACATTCCCCCCAAAACGAATAAGAACTGAAGCATAGATCATAAGACTTTGTTTCACCTCAACAATATTATTCCTCTTGGCTACACCATTTTGTTTTGGTGTATAGGTACAATTGCTCTGATGAATTACCCCATGCTCCAACAAATAGGATTCTAGGTCCTTTTCGAAATATTCCCTAGCATCATTATCTGATTCGAAAATTTTATTTTCCACTTCAAATTGTGTGAGAACCATCTGATGAAAATTCTGAACCAAGGAAGGTACCTCATCATGAAAATGCATCAAAAAAATCCAAGAATGACAATAATCATCCACAAACAAAAGAAAATAACAATAGTTGCCCATGGAGGGAATAAGAGTAGGGTCCCCACACATTAGTATGAGCAATAAAAAAAGGTGAACAACTTATTGTATTACTTGGAGAAAAAGAATGTATGCAATGTTTTGTAAGCTGACAACTCTCACACTCTAGACTAGATATCTTCATAAACTCAAACAGCTTGGGAAACACAAAACGCAAAGAATCAAAACACATTCCCTAACTGGTTATGCCATAAT